TGTGTGAATGAAAGGGTTAGGCTCTGTAGATTATGATTACTCTTTCTTGCCTTTTAGCAATGTAAGACAACCATAATTATGCTCCTGGACTCTGAGGGGCAGGATTTTGGGAAAGGGGCAGGATTTATGGCTGGCTTCTGTTGCATAATGTTTGAGCCTCAGCTAGAAAGACTCAGAGGCCTGATGCTTTGCTGACCAGAGGCTGGAATCATACAAGGGCTCATCCACCTAGACCCTGGGCATAGAGAACTCAGATGCCAAGACTGTTGGCCAGAGTGCCTATACTTGGCCTATCTATGTACCTGGGCTTCTGATAGAATGGTAGGTAGCCTCAGGATACATGGTAGCTTAGGACCATAGTACAAATATTGAAGCCCACAACGTAGCATCTGCATAGCCCTTTCTGACCTAGACTTGGAGGTTCTGTAGCCTGTGTTTGTTCTAAGTGCATCATACACCATGAAGGGGGTGTTTCATAGACTCCTATGTTTTTGATTGGAGTCAGCATAGATTATAATCAAGAATGTGAAATAGGAGATTTTTTTTGCTGCCATTTAGGGACAATTTACTCTGCTACACTATGATTTCTAGCTATCTTCCTATTCAGCTATTCAGTTTCCATAATTTAATATGACTAGGAGTACTCAGAATAGAATTCTAGCATTCACCATCCTCCCTCTCTTATCTTTATCCTGTGGTGGTCTCCATCATGTCATCCATAAGCTTAGCATCAAATGGAATGCCAATATTTACAACTACATAGTTTTGTTTTTTGTGTTTTTTTTTTTATATCTTTTCAGGGCTGTAGAGGAAATGTACTGTTATGACTATAAAGATTTCTGGCTGGATATCTCAGTGCTTGGGAAAGCAAAGCAGACTACAGAAAGAGCATTACTAATCAAATCAATAAGCAGGGTTTAGTTTGACAGAGACTTCAATAATAAAGAAATATTTTCTATTTATTGCAAAATTAAAAACTTAAATTACATTTTAATGAAAATAGGAGTCATAATAAGCCACTCTCTAAAAAAAATCACATAATACATTTATGATTATATTTCAAGATGTCCAAATTCTAGTAAGTAAAGTGAAAAGAAAGAATGGAGTCTCAGAAGGGAGAAGAAAAAGGAAAGCTCATTAGATTGGATGAATCAGAGAAGAAATAACTGAGTATCTGACATTTATGCAATATCTGATGACAGTTAGTTATAACTAGCAAAAAATATTTGCAAGGAAACATTTTCTAGGTAGAAGGAAAAAATTGTTAGAGTCCTTCAAGCATTCTAAATGGAACAAAGAAATGCTTATATTTATATTATGAAAAGATTTCTGCCTACTCCTATAGATTAAACAGGGCAAAATAGAATTGGTCCTTGCTAAATTTTTTGTCATTATGAAGCAAAACAAAAAAAACTCTGGAAATAATTTGCCAGGAAGAAACACGAAATTTTCTAAATTTCTAAATTATTCCACAGAAATTACTTGACCTATAATGTCACCCAATGTATTCAAAGGATGGTTTGAATCTCCACACATGTTCCTGCCTTTGCTCATAACTCTTGTAACTCTGGAGAAAGCCCTCTCTGCTAATTGCTAAAATTAGCCATCCTTCAAGTTCCAGAGTAAATGCTTCCTCTGATTTCTTGATGATAGCCATTCTTTCTGGGGTGAGATGGTACAATAGATATTGTGAAAGGGACAAGAAAATGCTCAAAAAGGAAGGAGCAACGTGATAAAGAACAGGGGAGGAAAAAGAAGGAAGAGGGAAAAATATGTGTGTATATATATATACACACACTCACACACACACAGGATAGCTAGGATAATTGTACTACTAATATCTGTTGGTTTAATGAAAGGAACTGTTAATGAGTAGTTGTTTGATCAAGCTTGAATTCCTACATCTGGTTATATGTTTTTGTTTTTTTTTTTTTTTTTTGGTTTTACTCCAGTACCAGGAACCGAACTCACGACCTTGCGCTTGCCAGGCAGGCGCTTTGCAGCTGAGCTAAATCCCCAGCCCTATTGCTGATGTCTATAGTTTATTGAGAGCAACAGTCAATGCTCAAAATTTTCTTTTTTTCTTGACCAATTTTACACGCTTGAATTTGGTAATCAGAATGACTGAGCTGAAAACAACATGAAGGATAAGAATCATTGTTGAACTCCTACCATTTTGTACGGTGAAGCTCTGCATCATTCCTGATGTTTTTTAAAGTTATTTTAATTTTTTTTTACTTGTACTGTCTTTAATTGTTTGATCAATCTTACATTCTTATGTCTAATGGGCCAAGCAACTTCGTTGAAGATAACAGTATATAATATAGCAACCACCGTAAATTTCTATCATTTTGTCTTGAGGTCATGTATCATTTTTGTACTTTTTGTGTTGTTTTGATTTTGTCTTCTTTGTTGTTTTGTCAGCTTGTTGATTTTTAAAATACCAAAGGGAAAATGATAGCATTTTTATTTGTTTAGTAATAAGAAAACTTGTAACAGATTTATTCACATCTCTTTTAAAATTTCTTTCTTCTCCATCATTTCTTTTCCATAACTATTATTCCATAAGTAAAATTGTAACAATCATGTATCTGTCTCATCCTTTCTTATTATAACATTCACCTTTGGGATTTTATATTGACTAAAAACACAAAAATGCTCCCTATGGAGTGAAAGAAAACAAATGTTTAGTAGAATGAGTACTAAAAAGGTAATGTAATAAATCTTATGATTCTGGTCCCCTCAGTCCCAATTATGCAATTGTGAAACATTTTCTTTATAATGAAGAATGTGACATAATATTTGTTTTCTTTTGTGGGTAATCATGGTGATGAGTTAATTAATCTTTTTTTATTTCAAAGAATAAAAATAATAAAAATGATACAGAATTTCAAAATAAGATGATAGGAAATTATTAATCATTACATATTATTATCTTCAAAGTAGTTGCTCAGATTACCAGATATAGGCATGCAAAATTGATCAAATAATATAAGCACTAACTGTTGCTTTCAATGAACTAATAGAAATTAGTAGTACAATTATCTTAGCTATCTTGTGTGTATATATATATTTCCCTTCCTTTTCTCCTTCCCCCTATCCCAGTTCTTTTATTTTTGAGCAGTTTTTTTCCCTCTCACAATATCTATTGTACCTTTCAGATCTTATTTACTCTTTCAGTTTCTTACACTAGGGAGACAAAATATTTACACATGTGAGTCTGATTTATTTCACTTATGAGTATGGTCTCTTGTTGCATCTGTTTACCTATAAAAGCCTGGAGTTTATATTTTTTATAGCTGAGTAATACTCCACCATATAAAAATATCACATCTTTTTTATCCATTCCTCAGTTCATGGGCATTAGAGTTGTTTCCAATATTTAGCTACGGCAAATTGTGCCTCTATAAACACATATATCGCTGTAGTATAATGTTTTCAATTCTTCTGGAAAAATACCCAGAAAAGGAGTAATTGGGTCAAATGGGATCTCTAATTCTAGTTTTTTGAGGAACCTCCACACTGATTTCCATAGTGGTTGCACCAGTCTATACTACCAACAACAGTGGAGAAGTGTCCTTTTTTCCCCCACAGCCCCTTCAGCATTTGTTATGGGTTGATTTCTTGATTATAGTCATTTTTTCTCAGGTGAGTTGGAATCTAAGTGTAGTTTTAAGTTGCATTTCTCAAATGGCCAATGATGTTGAGTATTTTTTCATATGTTTATTTGCCACTTATATTTCTTCATCTAAGAAGTATGCATTCCTCTCAGATGCCCATTTTTGGATTGGGTCTTTGAATTTTGGGCACCTGATTTTTTTTTTTGTAATTCTTCATATGTTCTAGATAGAAGCCCTTTGTCTGTGGGACAGTTGGCTAAAACTTTTTCCCAATGCATGGGTTTTTCTTTTCTTTTCTTTTCACTTTTTCTTTTCACTATGTTGGTGATTTCTTTTGATGTTCAAAGACTTTTTAATACTATGAGATCCTAGTTGTTGATTCTTTAAAGTATTTACCTTGCAGTTTGGTTTTTATTCATGAAATCTCTGCCTACTCCTGTGTCTTCAAGATTTCTACCTACTTTCTCTTCCAGTAGATTTAGTGTTTATGTTTTCATATTTAGATCTCTGATCCATTTTGATTTTGGTTTAGTGCATGGTGAAAGACATGGGTCTAGTTTTAGTCTTCAACATGTGAAAAGCCAGTTTTACTAGCACTATTTATTAAAGAGGGTATCTTTCTTCCAGTGAATGTGTTTGGCCCCTTTGTCAAAGATAAGGTGGCTGCATGTGTTTGTAGTTGTGTTTGCATGTTTGAATATATTTCACTGATCCTCAGGTCTGATTTTGTTTGTTTTAGTTTATTTTACCAGTACTATGCTGATTTTATCACAGTAGCTTTGTAGTATAAGTTCAAGGTAGGGATTGTGATGCCTCCTGCTTTGCCTTTGTTGCCCAAGTTTGCCTTTGCTAGTCAAGGTCCCTCTGGTTTCAGATGAACTTTAGGAATGTTTTCTCCAGATCTGTGAGATATACTAATATTATTTTGACCGAGTTTGCGTTAAATCTGTATGACAGTTTTGGGAGTATGGCCATTTTCACAATGTTGGTTCTCCCTATCCATGAGAAAGTAATATTTTTCCATTTTCTGAAATCCTCTTCGATCTCTTTTTTTCAGAGTACTGTAATTTTCAGTCTATAGCTCTTTCTTCCTTTGTCAGATTGATTCTTAAGTATTTCATTTATTTGGATGCTATTGCGAAAGGTACGGTTTCCCTAATTTCTCTCTCAGTGAGTTTGTTTGTGTACAAGAATGCTATTGATTTTTGAATGTTTCCTTTGTATCCAGTGATACTACTGAATTTGCTTATTAAATATAGAAGTCTTTTGGTGTAGTTTTTGTAGTCTTCTATGTACAGTATCATGTCATCTGTGAATAATGACAATTTCACTTCTTCCTTTCAATTAATTAATCTTGTTTATTTCCTTCTCTTTTCCCAGATTGCTTACAAGTATAAGACAATGACAGAATCAACATCACAGCAGTGAGTAGCAATGTCTCAAGATGCGATCAGGGAACTGACTGACATATTTTGTTTAAAATTATGGTTATTACTTAGTTTTATTTTTGTGTAGGTTGATTGTGGGGATTAGCATATTTGCAGAAAGGATTAAGTATTTTATCTGCTTGCATCAGAAATGTGTAAAGAGAACTCCTGGATGATATAGGGTAATGGATAATTACTTTGGCACCTGACCGGAGTGTAGTCTAACCATTAGTATTTTATTGCTCAGTAACACAAGGCCATTCAGCTTTTAGTCCAAGGCAGATACCTGAAAAACAGCTACTCTGGCACATTTCTAACATGGTGAACAAATTGATGCAAGACTTAGGTCAGGGAACTCTGCCGATTTTAGATCTCTCTGCTGATTTACCTGGAAATTCCATTATAACAAAAGTAAAGTAATGAGCTTAACAGATCACTGTCCGTAAATGCTTTTGCACACTGTCACTTTCTACCACACCAGAAGGGCTTGCACTTCCTCACTTAGGCATGTGTTCCGTCATGTGATCCAAGTATCAGAGCTCTGGCCTCTTCTTTTGGATCGAAAACTTGCCTTGATTAACTTTCCCTGGCATATTTAGCCAGAGCACTTTTAATCTGAATCAGTATTTGCCAGATCTCTTCAAATATGTATTTAGCTACAAGAGTAGTAAATAGTGCAAATGCAAAAACGGTAACTTCTTTCCTTTATTTGCAGACAGATGCAGGAGTAGTAAATAGTGCAAATGCAAAAACGGTAACTTCTTTCCTTTATTTGCAGACAGATGCAGCTCTAATCAGAGAAGTTTTTCAGATGCAGTTAAGATTTAAAGGCTGAAGCTGGGGTTGGAGTGAGTAAGAAATGCAGCAAATGGAGGAGCTTTTCTTCTTTTAATATCTTGTACTATTTCTGGAGGGATAATCCAGTGTATTCATGCAGGCATTCTAAGAGACATCTGTAAACCAAGATAGCTTGACACATAGGGTTAATGCGAAATAGATAATTGAAACAAACCATAGAAAAGGCTGACCTAGAAAACTAAGATGACTCAAGATTTGTAGAAGAAAATAACACAGTGTGTATGTCAGCAGCAATAGAAAACTAGCAAATGAAAGAAGATAATTAAGATTAGATTAATAGAAGAAATTTAAAATAGACACTTACAGACCTTGTAAGGTAGGGAAGAACAGTGTGGAAAGGAAAGAAGGAATGACATAGAAAGTTATGACTTTAAGAAGATGGGTTCAAATTACCTCATTAAGGATTAGTTTTTTGGTATCTTGTAATGGGAATAATAACCTGAATGTAGTCATCTTGTTATTATTCAAAAAATGTAACATATGACCACTGGATATCTTTTATAGCAAGCTCATCTCAAAATGGCATTCTGGATTTTTACAATTTGCAGATCATTGTAAAATAAGCATTAAGAGTAGACAACAGGAGACAAAATCTTGGACTGAATCCCTACTTTGCCTCTTGACCTCTCAAGAGGCTTAACTTTCTATGCTGCAGTTTTCTCCTCTGCAAAATGGGATACAATAATATTACCGGACTTAGGTTACTGCGTGCTTTAAAAGAGTTAATCCGTGTGAAGCTCTTGAAGAATGCTTATAATAAGCATTATCTAAGTCTTAGAATTATTGTTTGGATATTCTTAGTGTTCCCTTCTTCAGAATAAAATAAATTATTTTTCTTTATAAAGAATCTCAGCTAATTTATAAATTTTAAGGCATATCCTTTTTATGTTATATCTTGAACTGAAAGACTAGTGGTTTTAAAAAATGAATTACGGGTATAGTGGGAAGATCATTTTGAGGAGCTTTGTTGTATATAACTAGAAACAAAAGCAGATTGTTTGGGGCTCTCAACGTGGAAAAACTTCAAGTTATATTTGCTGAAATCAATTTTCTTTAAATCTCTTTGCACAAGAATAATGAAGGAAAAAGCTTGGATTAAGTTTGATTAGAAATTGAAATAGATCTGCCAAAAATCTACAATTGGTGTTGGTTTATTGCATTCTTCGTGTAACCTAACGTGCCTCCAGGAGTGATACCGGATGATTAGAATTGCTGGCTTAGGCAAGCAGCTGGTGTGGGTTTAACAGTTTAAAACTGCACTGAGAGCAAAAACCAGTGTTGCATATGTTTCAGTTTAATCACATATGAGTTAGCTTAATCTCCTGATAGGAGATGAATTTATCTGGAATGAGTTAATCAGAAGTCACAATGCATTCATGTATGCAACAGTGATTGGCCGTAACCTTAACTGACAAAGAGAAGTACATTATTGAGAAAGTATGTTTTATGCATCTTTTTTTTTTTTGCTTCCAGAAGGCTACATGTGACTAGGACAAGGAAGTTTCTCCATTTTTCCACAACAATAGTAAAAATATCATGACTTGACACTACTATCTTTTCTAGTATTTTTTCTACCCAGCCAACACTTCAAGATAACATTTGTGATTGTTTCAGTGGATACTGTGACAGGCTCGTGTAAAATACATAGAAATGTGATTTCAGGTAATTCTTATGAAACTCTGAATTAGTAACAAGTAAGAGCTATGTAACAAAATTAAGGATAATGACAATTAAATTTTTAATCCACAGTCCTATACATAGTAAGAGAGTTGGGATTTCAATCTACTCTTGTGTAACTCCAAAGCACGTTCTCTTTCTGTTTTATTTGCCTTTCTGTATTGTTCTCATAATTTTGTGTTTCACAGGTTTTTGAGGTTTCAATGCAATTGAACTCTTTCAATTGGACTCTTTCAGTGGCTTGAATCAGGGTATTTCTAAAAGTTAACTCCTCAGAATAAATGGAATATAGTTCTAAATTTACATTTGTATAGTTCTATAGCTGAAAGTATTTTACTCCTTAAGAACTCAGTATATTGTCTTTATTTCTTATTTGTATACATCCTGGTGTGAACTCTTCTGGATTGGCATCAGCCTAGGGGCTTAGTTCTTGGGAAGCCACCTCTTGGTGTCACAATAACTTAATTTCTTTTGGCTTTAGGTTAAATCCATGTTTTCAAATAGAGGGATTACTGAAGAGAAATGTGTGTAAAGTGACTAAAGGTATGTTAGACTGCATTATCTTATTTACTTCTATAAATTTGGAAATGTGCTTCTATAGTAAATAATTTGATTCTAACTCATAATATATATGATGCTTGAGGATCCTAGAATCCTTGTGATTTATATAATTTGAAGTTGATATGCATTTATTTTTAATCACTACCTCTCTGTTGAATATTCAATTAATACGATTCTCCTTGCTCATTCTTTTCTGTAGTCTGAATGTTTCCACCACACAACTAATATGTTAATAATCAGTTCTCAAAATAATAGTACTAAGAGGTGGGGATTTTAGGAGGTAATTAGGTTATAGGAGCAGTGCTTATGAATGGGATTATAGCCCTTATAAAAGAAGCTTGAGGGTACTTATTTGCTCCCTCAGGAACTGCAAAAATGACCATGTAGGAAGCAAGCAGTAAGCCCTCATCAAACACTAATGGCAACAAGACCTTGGAGTTCCTATCTTCTAAAATTGTGAGCAACAAACTTTCGTGCTTGTAAATTACTCAGATTAGGGTATTTTGTTATAGCAGGCCAAACAGACTAAGACAACATTTGAAATATTTTAATGTCAACATTTTTAAATGTTTAATATTTTTATTTTATTGAAGTTTTATTTGATTTCATGAAATTGAATTTGGAAATAACTTAGAAAGATAGCATTTAGCTAACTTCCTAAAATTCCCATGCAGTTTTTCAAAGAGCAATTGTAGATAGCACATGATTTTCTTAACACTAAAATTGAACAGAAAGACACACATTATTGTCATATAAATGAAATGTTTTCTCCAAAGTGCTGTTCCTCTATAGTAGAACAGTTTTATGATTTGAGTTTTTTTGACCTGCCTATAGATTTTTAATATGGTATTTCTAAATACCATCTACTACCAAACATTGCCACATGGATTCAGCTGATAGGCTCTTTTCAGTGAAAGGACTATCTTATTTCTACCAGTCTAAGAATAGCATTATATATGAATTAAACACTCTTAATCTCTGCTCAGCTCACCCCTAAAATCTGCCTCTTTCCCATAGCATTTGAACATTCACTCAGCATAATCTTAAACTATATTGAATTTGGAAATAAAAAAATAAACACTCTCACGAAAAGTTCTTTGAAGCACACAGCCCTCGGCAGAGATATGTGGCAACTTGAAACCAAATGCTAGTGCTTCATCTCCAAATGTGGTACAAGTGAAGTTACCTGCTTAGTCAGCAAACCTGTTAAAAATGTATATTTTTATTTTAAAAATGTATTTATTAAGAAAGAAACAGCATTCATTTAAATACAATTTTACAAATAATGAAGTGTTTTAGATTTGAAGTATTTTGAATAATGAAGTATTTTAGAGAAAAGTATAGTTTAATAGCTTAATTTTGGGCCAAAACTGAAGTAGAGTTCCATGTCATTTATTATATGAAAGAATCTTAATAGAGCTCTGAAATGTTTTTAAAATGATGTCATGGCTACATTGTAAAATGCATGACAATTTAAACAACAATAAACACTTATGTCATGTTTGAACAGTACACTTCCAGGTACTGTTCTAGAAATGTATATTTACCTCTCATAGCACCTGAAATGGTAGGATAATATTCCCAATTGATAAATGAGGAAACAGGTCCAGAGAATTACACAACCTAATGTAGGCAGCCAGTGGTGAAAATGCAATTTAAGCCTAAGCAGTCTGGCTTTGGACTCTATGCTTTTAACCTAGAGACCCTGTCTTTTGTCTGTCTATACTATATGCCATCTACCAGGTGTGAAATGCTTATTAGTACTTCCTTATACATGCTTTTCTGAGTGTGTTGTGTCTGGCCTCAATATTTTGATACTATGTTTTCCCCATTACAGGTTGATTATCTCTAATTTGAAAATCTAATATCAGAAGTGCTTCAAAAATCTAAAACTTCTTGAGCACCAACATGATATCACTGTGGAAGACTCCACACCCGACCTCATATGATAGGTGGCACGTCAGCCCAGGTGCTCCATAAAGGCTACATGAAATAACCTTCAGGCTATGTATATAAGGTATATATGAAACATCAATAAATTTTCCTATATAGACTTGGGTCTTGTTCCTAGTTTCATTATTTGTCTGCAATATTCCAAAACCCAACCAACAAACAAACAAAAAAACAAATCCAAAATGCTTCTGGTCCCAAGCGTTTTTTTTTTTTTTTTCCTCCGGTACCGGGAACCAAACTCACGACCTTGCGCTTGCCAGGCAGGCGCTTTTGCTGCTGAGCTAAATCCCCAGCCCCTCCAAGCATTTTTTTTAAAAGAAAAAATAAAAATAAAACAGAGTTTCAAAACTGGCTAATAGGAGAGTAACAATACTAATACACTGCGGATTATTATCCCAAGCATTTTGGATAAGGGATACTCAATTTTTATGCTATTGCTGTTTTAAACATATTTCCTTTAAGCATTTTTATATCAAATATTAAGTAAACTCATTCTATAAGTTTAAATTATTAATTGTTAATAAGTAGTAAATAACAGAACAGTCCCTAATGTGGGGATAAAATAGGGGAATGTAGAAATGGATTTTGAATATTCTACTCTCATTGCTAAGACTTTCTTCACTGTGAGTTAGATGTATTTGGGCATCTTTTCCTAATGCTGATAGGGTCAGATTTCAGAGCTGCCTTTGTTTTGATTTCATGATAGTTGCTTGCCATCTTCTGGCTTTCTGCGTAGGAAGATATCAGATCATCCTGGTCTGCTTGCATACTCACACCAAGATATTCTGGTTCATGTTGCAGATATCATTATAAGTTAATTTTAAATATTACCTGGTTATGGTAGGAATTTACAATCAAGTGTATCTAATAACAGGAGCAGTACATGGGTTGTTGTGAAGCCTAAATGAGCTAGTCCACATGGCACAATTGCACTGCATGGCACAGTGAGCTCTTGAATCATGGCTGTCCTCATTGTTATTGTTTAGGGGGAGCTGCTGATCAAGTGACTTTCAATATGCTAGTGCTTGCAACACCCTTTCTTAAAACAATAAAGTAAATAGACCTGATGTTCAAGCCTTTAAAAATATATTCAAAGTAGCACTTAATATTTATAATAGCTTCTGGACCTATGTTCCATGTAGATCAACGAAGACTTGTTAAGACCTGGACATCACCACCCAAGACTTTTGAGTAACAAGGGAAGACTTAACAGACCTATATAATGAAAACACAGAAGGAACAAGAGTATTGTGACAGTGATATGTAGTTTAAGCACTGTGCAGTGTTCAGGAGAGGAAAAGGTCAATTGGGGTTGGAGTTTTCTGAAAGATTTTAGTCATGGAAGAAAAGGATTGTCTAGTAGAGGTGGAAAACTATAAGCATACACAAAATAAGCATGCTATATCTGCGGAGTATTTGTTACATTAAGTAGTAACTCATTATCGATATTGATGCTTCTTTCATTTCTTTTACTGGGCACTAGGCAAAACATTTTCCCATAAATGAGAATATAATTTTCAAACAAATCCCAGATCATTGTTTCTGTCAGAATCAATGTTACTTTCTAAGTAAATGCTAAAACTAATGGCTTTATAATGATATTTTTACAGACCTTACTTATTTAAATAATCTCATGGCTATTAAATTATTACATTGGGTCTGGCAGATGAAAGCATGTTTTGCTTTATAAATTTGTTTATATCAAAAACTGCTTCTTCAAAAGAGAATAATGACCTTAGAGTGGAGTGGTTATGTCATCCCATTCTAAGTTGATCTGTACTTCTCACTTACAAATTGAAAGGGCAGGGTGGTAGACCTAAACCCAGCAAAGTCATAATTCATTGTGAAATATGTAAGATGGCATTCAGTTGCAGAAAATACACAGGAAAAAATACAGAAACAAACTGAGAGCTTACACAGAAGGGTAGAGTTGGTAGGTATGGATGGATGTACACTTTTTCTCTCTCTCTCCTCCTTACCCTCTCCTCTTTTTACTATTGTCTTTCTTCATTGTACCAGATCTAAGTTCCTATTTCCTTCACATTCACCTCCTAGTTTTATTGTGAAGGCTAAGCACCACAAACTGTCCCCAGCTAGATTTGGGACTCCTGTCTCTAGTCCTTACCTATGCTGAAAAGCAGACTTCTGACTGACTCTTTTCCCACCATCTTGCCTTGCATTTTTTTTTTTCTAGAAACAGACTGACCTCTCTTGTGGCTCTTCTACTTCTCTAGGAAAGCTGTCTTCCATCGCTGGTTGCCAGAGTGATTGCCACCTTGGTCTTAGAGAATGAAATGCATCTATTCCCTGGAATTAGTCCCATTTTTGTCACTTCCTACATATTGAAAGCATTTGTAAGTTTTAGCAGGGTTAATAGAAGGCTAAGACACAATGGAAAGAAGGTGCATCAAGAGAGTAACTGAAGCTGCTACCCTGCTCCAGAGAAAAGCCATGCTATCCACCTGTTCAAGTCAGAGCAGTTTCTTATCTCCTATACTTGGGACCATTCAAACTATCTAAAAGGCATGTTACTCTAAGCTTTTCAACAAATTAAGACTTTTCTTTCATAAGATGGATATCTGCCCAAAACTCTTGACCACAGGAATGACCATTTGCTTGTATGGACAGACTTACTAGATGGTGTGGATATTTATCTGGAATAGTTGTGAACATTTCATGCCAGTCAAGGAACTTCTCTACCTTTGTGTTCATTATAAGGCAGTCTAATTATAGCCCAACCTTGGAAAGTTTGCTAAATCTAGGTTAGCTGGTCCTATAAAAATAATGGGTAGCAATGAACTAGGTCCAGGTTAGTCTACCAAAGCTCAGTTCACTTCTTCTTCCCTCTCTACTTAGCAAATAGTAAAGCAATTTTGGTGTTTAGATTCATGTTGGATCACTTGATATGTATATTTAAAATAATTATTAACATTATTCATTTATTTGGGGGTAAAATTATGCACATTTATCTTGCATAATGTCTTTGAAGTCTATAGCCATTGTGAAATGGCTAAATAAGCATTAAATATGCACAAATCAGGAGACCTGACCGTAAATATGAATTTGTTTATTAAGAACCAGCTCTTTGATTCATGAATTCCTCCAGTGTAAGAACCTGAGAGAGTAAATAAAATCCCAAAGGTACAATAGATAATGTGAAAGAGAAAGAAATTGCTCAAGGGGAAGAAACAACTGGGGTGAGGGAAAGGAGAAAAAGAAAGAAGGAAGGGAAAAAATGTGTGTGTGTGTGTGTGTGTGTGTGTGTGTGTGTGTGTGTATAGAAGAGGGATAGCTTCTAGAAGGGTAGCTATAGAAGGATAGCTGGCATAATTGTACTGCTATCTATTGGTTTATTAAAAGGAACAGTTAATGCTTAAATTTTTTGACCAATTTTGCATGCTTATATCTGGTAATCTGAACAACTATTAACTAATTTGAAGACAACAATATGCAATATAGCAACCATTGGTGAATTCCTACCATCTTGTTCAGTGAAGTTCTGTATCATTTCTAATTTTTTAAAATTATTTTTATTCTCTTTAATGATTTGATCAATCTTGCATTCTTACATCTGGTAATC